TCAAGAAGAACTATGGAATTGGTATTGGACTTGCATCTGTGAAGCAGTGGGAGGTTTGTTCAGGGCTGTGCGTTTGGCAAACAGACTCGGGTAAGTTTTCAGGCAAAGTCTTCTCAGCATGCTACCAGACTTTTGGAAGTTATTCACAGTGACGTGTGTGGTCCAATGCGAACTTCGACATTCAGTGGTATGCGGTACTTTGGCACGTTTATTGATGACTACTCGCATTTTACCAGGGTGTATTTGCTACAAAACAAGTCAGAAGTTGCCAACAAGTTTGCTGATATTGTTGCCTTCGCCGAAACACAAACTGGCAACGTTGTGAAGGCGATTCTTTGTGATAATGGTGGCGAGTACAAGTCAAGTGAGAAGACCAAGCTCTTTTTGCGCCGCGGCATTGAGCAAAATTTCACGCCGCCATATACACCGCAGCTTAATGGAGTTGCTGAGCGCATGAATAGGACGTTGGTGGAATGTGCTCGTTGTACGCTTGAGCAAGCAAAATTGCCAAAAACGTATTGGGGTGAAGCTGTCATGACTGCCAATTTTCTGCGAACTCAATGCCCAACGCGCAGTATACCCTTTAATCACCATACCAAGCCTGGACTGGAAGGAAGCTGGTGTTGGCAAACCCAAAACTATTTGGTTGTCATGCTTTTGTGACGGTTCCAAAAGAAAAGCGGAGCAAACTTGATGCCCTCGGTAAACTTTGCCGAGTCGCTGGCTATACCGAGCATAAAAAGGCTTATCATTTTGAAGATCTCAAACTGGTAGCGTTTGTATCAGTCGCGACGCCAGTTTTCTTGACAACGTCTTTGCTTGTGAAAAGTCAAAATTATCTCAAAAACTAAGTTGCTGACGATTTTGAGTCAACTACAGATGAAGATGCGCTGTCAAATGCTGTTGACCAAGACGAAGGTACAGTGATGCATGAAGACAGTGAGGATACCAACAGCAAACGACATGAGCGTACGCAGTCTTTAGACGATACTACCGACTTTCCAAGCGCAAAGAGATTTGTCCAACGCGACACTTTTCAAGGTCTAATCAGGTCCGGAAACAAATGTCTCCAGCGAGCACAATCACTTGAATCGGCAAAAAAAGGGCAAAAAGTGAAGCGAACGACCCAGTACAGCAAGAATCAAGGGCTTGATAAATTGTCCGCCGCAGCACAAGATTTTTGTCGTGGATTCAGTGGGAGAAATGCTGATTACATTCAAGTCGGCTATGGAATCCAGCGACGCAAGCAAATGGGTAATGGCCTGCGATATGGAAATGGGGTCACTTCGCAAAAATGACACACGGGAGCTTGTGCCACCTCCACGTGGGCGCAAAGCTATTGGTAACAAATGGGTTTTTCGCATCAAGAAGAACCAAGACGGTGTGATTGAACGATACAAGGCACGCATGGTAGCTAAGGGATTCGCGCAAAAGTACGGCATTGACTATGAAGAGATATTTGCGCCTGTGGCCAAGTTTACTTCAATTCGGTTCTTGTTGAGCCTAAGTGCAAAATACAACTTGACGATTCATCAGATGGATGTCAAGACTGCTTTTCTCAACGGAGAGCTTGAAGAGAATATTTTCATGGCGCAACCAGAGGGATACGTTAGTGCAAGTCATCCCGACCATGTTTGCAAGTTGAAGCGGTCGCTGTATGGATTTAAGCAATCTTCACGCATGTGGAACAAGAACGTTGACGATTCCATGCAGCTTTTGGAGTTCAACAAGTGGGAATCAGATCATTGCATTTACGTGAAGCGTCAAGTCCAAGATATGATTTTTGTGGCACTTAATGTTGAAGATATGATTCTCGCAAGCAGCAGTCTCAAGATCCTCGAAGAAATAAAACAGGCACTTAGTGAACGATTTGAGATGACGGAAATGGACCAACCTAAAAACTTTCTCGGAATAAAAATGGAGCAAGATATGACAGCAGGAAAGTCTCGATACGGCAGACAAAGTTTGCATGTGACGTTTTGAAAAAGTTTAAGAGGGAGCACTGCAAACCTGTTCGCACGCCTCAAGACCCAGGTCTCAAGCTTACAAGAACGATGTAGAAGGTGGCTGCAAGCATGAAGATACCATGGTCAACGTGCCATATCGAAATGCCGTTAGATGCCTCATGTGCTTGATGGTTGGCACACGACCAGACTTAGCGGAAGCAGTGGGAATTTTATGTCAGTTTGTGGCGGACCCAGGCCCAACCCATTGACAAGCTTTGAAACGTGATTTCCAATATATTCAAGGCACGAAGGTACTACATGGCTACTCAGATACTGATTGGCAAGTGATGTGGAATCAAGAAGAAGCAAAAGCGGCTACGCCATCATGATGAATGGCGGCACAGTTAGTTGGAGAAGCAAGAAACAGCGTATGGTTGCTTTATAATCAACGGAAGCTGAGTACATGGCGCTTTCGGAAGCAACGCAAGAAGCGATTTGGCTCAAGATGTTTCTTTGCAAACTCAATGAAATGAAAACAAGAGATGCATTCAAGATTTTTGAGGACAATCAAGGCTCTGTTGCGCTTGCAAAGAACCCCGACTTTCACAAGCGCACAAAGCATCTCAACAGCCGTTACCATTCCATACGTGCGAAGGTTGACGACGGTCAAGTTGTTCTCGAGTACATTTCGACGTCGAAATGGTTGGCGGATATACTGACCAAGGCAGTACCTGCAAGTAAGTTTTTTATTCTTCGAAGTAAGCTCGGAATTCAAGCACCAAGGACTGCCAAGTCAAGTGGGGGTGTTGTTAAAGATGCGCCTCGTCGTGCAGACTAGTGGAGCCAAGGAAGCGTTTCGACGAGCAGCCGTCAACCGGTAGATATCGGGATTACCGGTGTGGACAGGCTGATTGCGCAAATTGCAGTTTTTGTGGGGACGAAGTATCCAGTGGAGTATCCAACAAATAGTCTATCCATAAGCGCATAAGAGGTATTTAAATCCAGGAAAAAATCCAGTAGAAAATTTGGTGGAATGTTCTAAATAGGCTTAGAGGTAGCACAGCAAACTAAGGACCTTTAATAAATTCACTTTGCATGCTGCCAAAACATAAACACTTGCCTTAACATTAGTTAAGACGCAATTTGGAAAACAAGTCAAGTTTGTACGACACGACGGAGCTCGAGAAATTGCAACGCATTCGCTTAAGACATTCTTCGAGGACTAAGGTATTGAACAACAAGTTATAGTTCCCTATGCACATCAAGCAAATGGCACGGCAGAGCTCGCCATCAGAACAATCGTGGTCATCGGGCGTAGCATGCTGCATCATGCCAAATTGGACAAATGCTTCTGGTGTGAATCAGCAATGACCGCGATCTACATCTAGAACCGAATGAGGTTGATAACAAGACCCCATTTAAAACTGTGTACAAGTTCAAGCCAAGCGTCAAACATTCGCGTGTTTTTAGGTGTCAAGTGTATGCCTTGACCCCAACGGGAAAACGGCTCAAGTGGGATCCAAAAGCGCATGCTGGTATTTTTGTGGGTTATGTAGAGACATCGAAGGCCTATCGAATGTTTGATATTTAAGTGGGACAAGTCATGATCAGCCGCGATGTCAACTTTGATGAGGCCAGCTTTGGTCCCTTCGCTTCAAGCCTCGAAGGACTTCCAAACTATGATGACAACCTCGATGCTGTCTTGCTCAGCATCACGACAAAGACACAAGCTACCCAGGCGAGCGCAAGAAGTGCTCAGAAACAAGAAATTCTAATCAAGAATCAACAAGTCGACACTATCAAGTTGGACTAGAAGAAGCTTAGAGCTGGCTTAAGCAGTTCACGGCCTCAAACAAGCCTTGCACGTTTGGAATGAGACATTTGACGAGTTTGTTTGCTCTATTGGATTTCAAGTATCGGCCTTTGATCCATGCCTGGACATCAAGCACACCGATGATCATTGTGTACTGCTATTGGTTTACGTGGATGATGCTCTTATTACTGGGAGCTCGGCCAAGCTTATAACACGAGCCAAAAATGATCTCAAGACCCGTTTTGAGATGACGGATAGTGGAATATGTGAAATCGTTCTTGGCATTGAGCTAGTGGACAATGTTGATGGCAGTGTGACACTGTGTCAATGTCGCTACATCAAAGACATTCTCGAGCACTTTGTCATTGAAGAATGCAAAACAATGGTAAGCCCGATTGATCTGAGCTCGCGACTTTCTTCAAGCAATGCGACAACCAAGACTCTCGCCCCGTTTCGCGAAGCTGTGGGTGCTTTGATGCACTTGATGATAGCGACACGCCCGGACATTGTAGTTGCCGTTGGATATGTTTACGCTCCATGGAGAACCCACAAGCTGAACATTGGATTGCAATAAGAGAATTCTTCGTTATCTGCAAGGAACCAAATCATCAGGCATCTGTTTCAAGCCGGGCACCGAGGTTGATTTTCATAGATATTCAGATGTAGATTGGGTTGGTGGTCATGCCGACAGCAAGTCAACTTCGGGTTACGCCTTCATATTAATGGGCGCTCCTGTGAGTTGGAGCAGCAAGAAACAGTCAAGCGTATATCTTTCGACAAGTGAAATAAAATACGTTGCACTTAGCCTGGCAATTCAAGAAGGCAAATGGATCCATCGTTTTCTGTGCGATATATTGTCAGCGGCCGGTAAACAAGGACCAGAACCCAAGATATGAAGACAATCAGTCGTGCATCAAGATGACGAAGAACCCTGTGAACCATGGTCGAGCAAAACACATTGACATCAAGTATCACCACATTCGCGATGAAGTCAAGCGTGGTGAGGTAAGACTCGAATACTGCGAGACTTCGGTGATTTTAGCGGGCGTGATGACTGAGGCACTTCCAGGACCACGTCGCAAGAACTTAACGGAAGCTCTTAAAATTCGCGCGTGTTTGCACTGAGGGGAGTATTGGAGTTAGCCGGTATATCCAATGCGACCTACCCATGTTCCAGTTTCATATCGGTACGTCACTGGTACAACAGCGCTATGGCATCTTATGTATATAGTGTAGCACTCACTGATCGGCTAACATAAATCGGGAATCGGTATAGTGAGTCCAGTATATAAATTGATTGGGTTAGAGGTAGCAACAAGCTTGTGAACTAAGGACCATAAATATATCTACTTCGGAATTTTCTTTCTTCCGCACAAGTGACTATGCTCGGAAGTTCCTCGCGCAGGATCTTCTTCCCAGCTTGCCAGTGCCCAGCTTCGATTTCTCTCACCTTGCACTTTAACAATATTGTATCGCGTCTGCTGATTGCGTGATGATTGTCTGCAGTGCGATGTATTCGTTACTGCAGCTGTTGCTAGCAAGATGGATTTCCGCTTAGCGACAGATGTATTTCCGCAGCTGTTTATAGCGTAGTAATCTTTATCGCGACTGATATGTTATCGAAGCTATTGATAGCGAGGTGAAAATCTGCATTGCGATAGATGTGTCAGCGTGGCTGTTGACAGTGTGGTGAAATTTATTTTGTGACGAATGTATTATCGCAGCTGTTGATAGCGTGGTGATCTGCATTGCGACTGATATGTTTTTATCGCATTAATTGAAAGCGTGGTGAAAGTCTGAAGTGCGACTGATATGCTTTTCCAGCTGTTGATGGCAATGTGATAGTCTGCACTGCGATGGAGTCGTTACAGCAGCTGTTGATGGCAAGGCGGAAGTCCGCTTAGCAACGGATATGTTACCGCAGCTGTTGATAGCGTGGTGATCTTCATTGCGACTGACATGTTTCCGCAGCCATCGATAGCGAGGTTGAAATCTGCATTGCGATAGATGTGCCAGCACATCTATCGCGATATGTTATCCCAGCAGCTAATAGCAATTTGATAGTCTGCATTGCAATGGATACGTTACAGCAGCTGTTGTTAGCGAGGCGGAATTCCGCTTAGCAACTGATGTGTTATCGAAGCTGTTGATAGCGAGGTGATCTGCATTGCGACTGATATGTTATCGTATCTGTTGACAGCGAGGCGGTAGTCCGCTTTGCGACTGATGTGTTATCGCATTAATTGAAAGCGCGGTGAAAGTCTGCAGTGCGACTGATATGCTTTTTCAGCTGTTGATGGCAATGTGATAGTCTGCACTGCGATGGAGTAGTTAAAGCAGCTGATGCTAGCAAGGCAGAAGTCCGCTTAGCTACTGATATGTTACCGCAGCTGTTGTTAGCGTGGTGATCTTCAGTGCGACTGATATGTTATCCCAGCAGTCAATAGCAATATGATAGTCTGCATTGCGATGGATTTACTGTAGTTTAAGGTGCAACTCGTCGTGCAGACTAGTGGTGTCAAGAAAGCTTTCTGTCGAGCAGCTGCCAATCGGTAGTTATCGGTTATACCGGTGTGGACAGGCTGATTGCGCAAGTTATGGTTTCGTGGGTTAGCCAAGTATCCAGTGAAGGTTCCAGCAATGGGGCTTTTCAACAAGCGCATAATGGGTACATAAATCCAGAAAAGAATCCAGTAGAATATTTGAAAGAATATTCTAGATAGGCTAAGAGGTAGAATAGCGAACTAGGAACCTTTAATATATTCACTTTGCATTTTTCCATCCACAGCACAAGTGCCTTTCTTATTTCAGGTTATAAGCCCAAGCCCTGTCTTCCCGTCCTCCGCCACCACTGCCCGTATCAACAAGTTTGATGGTAGAAAGCTTCACACTTGGAAGTTCAATATGCAGATGGTGCTTTAAAAGGCAGACCTTTGGGAGGTCGTATTCGGAGAAATCAAGCTGGAGCAGTGCGTTACATCGTTGGAATAATCCATGGTCAAGCGCAAGTCTCACACGGCGATGGCGATTTTCTGCCTTGCGATGGGAGATTCTCAGCTACCGTTGGTTCTTCTGCTAGTGGTGCGCATGATGCTTGGTCACGGATGGAAAGACACTTCGAGAAGAAGAGCCTAGCAAACAAGCTCTTTATTCGTCATCGCCTCTTTGCGGCCAAGACGGAAGAAGGAGAAGACGTGCTGGAGCACATCAACAAGATCAAAACGCTGGCGGAGCAGCTCGATGCAGCAGGCGCTCCGGTCAGTGCGGACGACCTGGTCATTACGCTTCTCGCCAATCTCAGCGAGTCGTACGCGTTTCTCATCACAGAATTGGGGTCAAGAGCCGACTCGTTGTCGTGGGAACTCGTGACGTCTCGGCTGCTACACGAAGACTTAAAGCGCAAAGAGCAAGGTGGTGGCGTCGATGGAGCCGCGCACAACCAAGGTCAAGCGTTTGTATCAACGGGAAGTGGACGGCGCAAGGGACGACAAGTGTCAGTGAAGGGTAACAGCACCTGTCACTACTGCGGTGAACATGGGCATTGGATTGCCACGTGCCCAACTCGGATTTGCGAGAATGCCGAGCGACAACGGCCGCAGCACGCAAACATTGCACAGAATGATGACGATTTTGGCGATTATTGTTTCTCGGTTGGCGACATTGCGTGTACGGTCAAATCAAGTTGCGTGTGGCTGATTGACTCCGGAGCGACACAGCACATGACGTACTCGAAAGAGTACATAAAGAATTACAAGAAAATTGCACCAATCGACGTGCATCTCGCCTACGATGGTGTGAAACAAGCGATTGGAACGGGCGATATTGTGATGTCGATGATGACACCACGTGGAATGAAAACGGGTTTGCTAACAGATGTATGGCATATCCCAAAGCTTTCTCGTAACTTATTTTCCGTCGGACGTTTTACAAGAATGTTGGTCCAGTCATTTTCGAGCGCAATAGATGCTTTACGGAGGCAAAGGGGTTACGCTGGAAGCTTGGTGCCCGCGAAGAAAAAGAACTGTTCAAGCTATGTATGAAGCCAATTCATGTACAAGAAGTCAATGTGACAAGCTCGTCGAGATGCCATGGGGACACCACGTCGTACCTCTGGCACCTTCGACTTGGACACATTGGCTGTTCAGATCTTGACACCATCGTTAAGAAGAAATGTGGCGTTGATATCGGACTTACATCAGTAAAGCATTGGGAGTCATGTCATGGTTGCGCTCTTGGCAAACAAACATGTGCTAGTTTTCTGCCAAAATCTACTCAACGCGCTAAAACCGTTGGAAGTGATCCACAGTGACGTATGCGGTCCGATGCAGACAGCTACTTTTAGCTGCATGCGGTACTTCGTTACGTTCATCGACGAGTACTCACACTTTACCATGGTGTACTTGCTGCGAAAGAAGTCAGTTGCAAGCAAGTTTGCATCTTTTGCAGCATATGCAGAGACTCAGACTGGGAAAGTCGTGAAAGCTCTTTGTTGTGATAATGAGGGTGAGTATTCGTCTGGCGAATTAGCAAAGTTTTGTCAGCGCCGTGATATTGTGCAGAAGTTTACGCCGCCATACACGCCTCAGCTCAATGGAGTGGCTGTGCGTATGAACAGGACATTGGTGGAATGTGCGCGTTGTACGCAAAACTACCTATGGCGAATTAGGGGAAAGCAGTGATGACTACCAACTTCTTGCGCTTTCGGTGTCCCACGTGTGGAATTTCATTGGCACAGTCCCCATATGAAATGTGGACTAGAAGAAAACCCGTTTTGACAAAGCTAAAGGTATTTGATGTCATGCGTTTGTGACGATTCCGAAGGAAAAACGTGCTAAGCTTGATGTCGAGCTCTGCCTTTTTATTGGGTTTTCCGAGCTATGAAAAAGCATACCGATTGGAAAGCATGGAGAGTGGTCGTGTGGCAATAAGCCGTGATGCAAAGTGTCTTGAAGAAGTCTTCGATAGTGGAAGTCGTGATTATTGTTGTGGCCAAGATAACTATGAAGACAGTGGAGATACAGATGAAAACAACAAGAAGAAGATCAGGATAAAGACAAGGATGATTTAGGCACCAATCGCCATTCTCGTACGCAATCGCTTGAAGACACCTCAGAGACTCCCAGTGCAAAGCGCTTCGTTCAGCGCGATGAATTGAAAGGCCTCATTGAGTCTGGGAATAAACGACATTAGCAAACGCAATCGCATGAGGCGTCGGCGGAGCTTCTCAATGTCAAGCGCTCAAATCACCACAATGAGCATCAAGGACTTGACGAACTGTCAGCTTCGGCCGAAGACTTTAAAGCTGCTTACGTCGTGGATTCAGTGGGAGAAGTGCTGACCACTTTCAAGTCGGCAATGGAATCCAGCGAGCTGATGAATGGGCCGAGGCTTGTGACTCGGAAATGGAGTCACTAAACAAGAACAAGACGTGGGATATAGTGCCGCTTCCAAAAGGATGCAAAGCGATTGGCGGTCTTTCGAGTTCAGAAACATCAAGACAGAGAGGTCGAACGCTACAAAGCGCGTCTGGTGGCCAAGAGATTTGCACAAAAGTACGGCATTGATTATGAGAAAACTTTTGCATCAGTTGCGAAATTTCCCTCAATTAGAGTACTGCTTAGCCTCAGTGCCATTTACGGTCTCAGGGTTCATCAGTTGGATGTGAAGACGGTTTTACTAAATCGACTTCTTGAAGAGGACATCTTCATGGTGCAGCCCGACGGTTATGTTGACAAAAGTCATTCCGATCATGTGTGCAAGTTAAAAAGGTTGTTGTACGGGATCAAGCAGTTGCCAAGAACGTGGAACAATACGTTTGATGATTTTATGCTACATCTAGAATTCAAGAAGTGTGAATCGGATCATTGTGTGTACACAAAGCGTACAGCTCAAGTAATGATTTTTGTTGCGCTTTACGTTGACGACTTGACCCTCGCAAGTAGCAGTATCAACATGCTCCGAGAAACAAAACAAGCCCTTAGCGAGCGATTCGAGATGACCGGTATGGGCCAGCTCAAGTGTTTCTTTGGCATGGAGATTAAACAAGACACGGTAGCGAGGACAGTTTTGACGTTGCAGACCAAGTTTGCACACGGCATTTTGGAGAAGTTTAAAATGGCACATTGCAAAACGGTCCATACGCCACAAGATCCCGGTCTCAAGCTAACCAAAATCATGTGTGAAGGTGGATGCAAACATGACGAGACAATGGCTGGCGTGCCGTATCGCAATGCCGTTGGGTGCCTTATGGATCTCATGGTAGGCACGCGTCCAGATCTGGCAGCGGCAGTTAAAGAGTTGAGTCAATTATGCAGCGGATCCATGTCCAACGCGTTGGCAAGCTCTTAAGCGAGTCTTCCGGTACATTCAATTCACAAAAGATTTCGGTATTGAGTTTCAAGCAAGCTGTAAGTACGGGCTTCAAGGCTATACTGGGCTGGCGATATCGAATCAAAACGAAGTGGATACGCATTAATGATGAGCGGTGGTGTTATTAGCTGGCGAAGCAAGAAACAGCGCGCGGTGGCTTTGTCGTCAGCTGAAGCCGAATCCATGGAGCTTTCAGAAGCAACGCAAGAAGCGATATGGCTCAAGACGATTTTTGCGAACTCAATGAACTGAAAACAAGCAATGCAGTCAAGATTTTTTAAGGCAATCAAGCTTCATTGCGCTCGCGAAGAGCCCCAATTCTACAAGCGCACAAAGCATTTCAACATTCGTTACATTTCTTACCTGAGAAGGTTGAAGACGATCAAGTTGCTTTTGAGTACATTTCGACGTCGGACATGCTGGTGGCTATACTGACCAAGGCAGTACCTGCAAGTCAATTTAGTGCTCTTCGAGGTAAGCTCGGCATTCAAGCACCAAGGACTGCCGAGTCAAGTGGGAGTGTTGTTGTAGATGCACGTCGTCGTGCAGACTAGTCGTGCCAAGGACGCGTTTCTACGAGCAGCTGCCAGCCGGTAGATGTCGGTATTACCGGTTTGGACAAGCTGATTTCGCAAGTTGCGGTTTCGTGGGTCAGCCAAGTATTAAGTGATGTATCCAGCAAAGTAGCTTTCCACAAGCGCATAGAAGGTACACAAATCCAGTAATGAATTCAGTAGAATATTTGGTGGAATATTCTAGATAGGCTTAGGAGTAGCTCAGCGAGCTAAAAACCTTTCATATATTCACTTTGCATTTTTCCATCTAGTGCTTAAGCTACCTAAAACGAATAGGTTATGAGTCCAAGCCCTGTTGACGTGGCCTCTCCTTTCTCCGACTCTGCCTTTGTCGCCATGGATACGTCTACGCTAAGTGAAACATGTTCGGTGGTACCAACTTTCACAATGGAAGTTTAAGATGCAGATAGTGCTGGAAGAGAGGGAGGGGCATGTGGAAAGTTGCAAGTGGGGAAATCAAGCTGGAGCACTGCAAGAATGCGATGGACCAGTCGACCTACAAAAGAAAGCCACGAAAGGCGTTGGCGATGATCTGTCATACTCACAACTGTCGCTGGTCCGGTCATCAAGTGGTGCGCATGATGCATGGTCGCAACTGGAAGGACACTTCCAGTTGCGACCATGGTGGAAGAATATGATGAAGTTCTAGAATACATCTACAAGCTCAAGACGCTAGCGGAGCAGCTCGACGCTGTGGGTGCTTTGGTGAGCGAGAACGACTTGGTTATTATGCTTCTTGGCAGTCTTAGTGATTTGTTCCAGTTTCTCATAACAGCTTTAGATTCGCGTGCGGATACTTTGACTTGGAAGCTGGTGACATCACGGCTTCTACATGAAGACATGAAACGCAAGGAGCAGTGCGCTGATGGCCGCAGCGCCTGGGCAAGCGTTTAAATGAAAGATGCGAAGCGCAAAGGACGACCAGCGAAGAAAACTGGTGCGTCCCATAATTGCGGGAAAAAAAGACATTAGATCGCAGATTGTCCTTTGCGAGTCCAGAAAGATACTGAACGTTATCGATTGCAGCGAGCAAATGTCGCACAGTTTGAAGGTTCTGGTGACTATCCTTTCTGAATTGGCGGTAGCAGTGACTCTGTTCAATCGAATAAGTTCATGAGGAACTATAAGGGGTCTCCTAATATTAACGTACATCTGGCAGACGACGGCGTTGTACAAGCTGTTGGAGCGGCGACATCGTCATGTCAATGAAGACTTCGCACGGCGTAAAGAAGGGTGTGCTGACAAATCTGTGGCACATTCCCAAGTTGTCAAGAAATTTATTTTCAGTTGGATGCTTCACTAAGGACGTTGGGCCTGTTGTCTTCGACAAGGAAGGATGTTTAGCCGAGATGAAAGGTGTCAAGTGGAAGATTGGTGCACGCGAAGGAAAAGGACTGTTTCGACTTCAGATGACTCCGGTTGCTCGAGGGGAAGCGAATCCAGTAAAATTTACGACAATGAATAAGGATATCTCATATCTGTGGCATCTTCATCTTGGTCATACTGGACATGACGGATTGAGCGCAATTATTAAAAAGTATCTCGCTACTGGTATCGATATTGCGTCTGTAAACAAGTGGGAGATTTGTGATGGCTGTGCACTAGGCAAGCAGACTCGTGTACATTTTCTATCGACGTCAACGGATCGGGCAAGCAAGCTTTTGTAAACACAGCGATGTGTGCGGTCCTATGAAGCTCTCAACGTTTAGTGTCAAGCGTTATGTTGTGACTTTCATCGACGACAATTCCAGATATTGCACCGTATATCTGATCAAGAATTAGTCAGAAGTGGTGGGCAAGCTTGTAAATTTCGTAGCTATTCGCAGAAAAACAGACCGGCAAACGCGTAAAATCACTTCGCAGTGACAACGGTGGTTAGTATACATCAGCAAAAATGGCCAACTTTTGCTTGGATAGAGAAATTGTGCTCAAGTATACGCCACGGTACAAACCACATCTCAATGGAGTTGCGGATCGTATGAATCGGACGCTTATGTAGTGCGCACGTTGCATGTTGGAGCACGCTGGTCTTACTAAACACTACTGGGGAGAAGCAATCATGACGGCAATGTTTTTCCGAGATCGGTGTTCATCGCGTGCTAATAACTTCGAAAAGTCACCTTACGAGCCTTGGATGGCCAAGAAACCGCTGTTAGCCAGCCTAAAAGTATTTGGCTGCCACGCGTTTGTACACGTTTCAAAAGAGAGACGCTCGAGGTTCGATGCGAAAGCCGTGCTATGCCGATTTTTGGGCTATTTAGAGCACCAGAAAACGTATCGGTTGGAGGAAATATCAACAGGTGAAATATCATGAGTCGTGACGCACAGCTTAAAGTGTTGTTAAAGATGCGCCTCGCCGTGCAGACGAGTGGCGTTCAGGAAGCGTCTCGTCGAGCAGCCGCAAATTGGTCGATATCGGTATTACCGGTGTGGACACGCTGATTGAGCAAATTACGGTTATGTGGGTACGCCAAGTATCCAGTGAAGTATCCAGCAAAGAGGCTATTCACAAGCGCATAGAGGGTACATAAATCCAGTAAGGAATCCAGTAGAATATTTGGTAGAATATTCTAGATAGGCTTAGAGGAAGCATAGCGAACTAGGGACCTTTAATATATTCACTTTGCATTTTGCCATCTGGTGCCTAAGCTACCTAAAACCAGTACTTTCAAGTAATGTTTGATGGAGCTAGCATAATCATCGCAGTTAAAGTCTGGAAGAAAATGGTGACAACAGCTGATCTGGTTGATGGTCGTTACTGGCTTAGGACTTCACAGCTCTCTGTCAACATGGTTGAGTCGAGTTAAAGGATTGACCTTCATGCGCGTATGGGCCACGCACTTATCGCATCGATATCAACGTTGCCAAGAGTTCGTCGTGAGTGTCAAGAGGGTAAGATGGTTAAAAAAACATTTCCAAGCAACCCTGATAAGCGTCAGTATGCCGTATTTGAGCTACTACACAACTTCGACATTTGCGGTCCAATGGAGCAAGAACGGCTTGGTGGAAGCAGCTACTTACTGCTGATTGCTGACGAGGCCAGTGCATGCATGAAAGGAGAGTGTTTACATGCTAAGTCGGGCAGCGATGATGCGATCAAGACATTCATACTTAAGGCCCAGACGCAATTTGGGAACAAGGTCAAGTTTGTACGGCATAACGGAGCCCGCGAGTTTGCAACTAACACGCTCAAGATGTTCTTCGAAGACGAAGGCATCGAGCAGCAAGTCACATTTCCATATGCACATCAAACTAATGGAACAGCTGAGCGTTCCATACGAACGGTTGTGACTATTGGACGCAGTATGCTTAATCACGCCAAGCTAGATAAATTCTTTTGGGCCGGACCTGCCATGACGGCAGTATACATCAAGAATCGCCTCCCATCCCCAAAAATGAAGACAAAGACTTTCTTCGAAATTGTGCACTAGTCTAAGCCAAGCGTTAAGCATATGCGCATTCTCGGGTGTCGAGTTCACGTTTTGACACCGAAGTAAAAGCGGCTAAAATGGGACCCAAGTCTCGAGAAGGTGTGTTTGTGGGGTATGATGAATTGCCAAAAGCGTATCGAGTATATGACATTCAAGCCCAACAAGTGGTGATAAGTCGGGATGTTCTGTTTGACGAGTCATGTTCCGGTGATTTAGAAGTAGACACTCTTGATGATGTTGATGCAGCAAATTTGGATTTTGGCTTGCTAGAGATTGAAGACGACGACTATCTGTACACGACAAGTTTTACGCAAAAAGGTAAGCGCAAGCTGTGGACGCAAGAACACAATCCAACATGTAAAGGACCAGGGTCCAAATATTGTCAAACAGGCCTAGAAGAAGCAAGTGCCTGATGAAATGAGCTTACGTCGAGTCAAACGGCAATATCGCGCTCAAAACGTGTTAAGATCCGGTCAAGAAGTGCATGATTCTAAAGATAAAAACATTGATGTAATCTCTTCGGCTTTGTGGCGTGCAAGTGTGAACGCAGTCGAGACTATTGATTTTTTGGAACCAACCTCTTGTCAAGATGCTTTAAGTGGTCCTGATCAGCTCACTGGCGGAAAGTTATCCGCGCGGAACTGAATGTAATGCAGCTTCGTAGAGTATTTCAAGCCTCGAAATTACCGTCAGGTCAACATGCTATCGGCACGAAGTGGGTATTCAAGATCAAGCGTAAAGCTGATGGCTCAGTCCGAAAATTCAAGGCACGGCTTGATGCAAAAGGCTTCAGACATAAACATGGAATTGATTACACGGAAACATTTCGCCTGTGGTCAAGTACTTGATATTACGAATGGTGATTGCTTTGACTAAGTACTTTGGGTGGTCACTTGATTAAAAGATGTTGTAACAGCTTTTCTTTACGAAGTAATGAAGGAAGCTGTTTACTGCGATGTACCAGATGGGGTCGGGCTTGACAGTAATTATGACTGTCTTGAGCTCGTCAAGGCAATTTATGGACTTAAATAAGCTTTTTTCGCGTATTAGATGAAACCTTTGACGAATTTGTTTGCACAATTAGATTTCAAGTTTCTGATTTCGATCCATGTCTTAACATTAAAATTGTGGTAAGCCACTGCGTGCTACTTCTACAATATTTTGATTACTGGAAGCTTAACGGAGCTAATTGTGCAAATGAAGACTAGCTTAAAGAATCGCTTTAAAATGACCGACAGTGCCAAATGTGTTTGTTCTGGGCATCGAGTTAATAGACAATGACGACGACAGCGTAACAATGTGTCAGCGGCGTTACGTCGACGACATTCTCAAGCGATTTGGCATGGATGATAGCAAGCCCGTGATAAGTCCAACAGACATCAGCTCTAGGCTCATGCCAAGTGACGCTTCAACTAAAGTAAACGCACCATTTTGAGAGGCTGTGGAAGCGTTCATGCATCTCATGACGGCAACACGGCCCGACATTGCATTTGCTGCTGGTTATATGTCACGATTTATGGAGAATCCACAAGCTGAGCACTGGGCAGCGGTCAAGCGTATTCTTCGCTATTTGCAAGGCACAAAGTCTCATGAAATTTGTTATCAGCCTGGCGACAAAGTCGACTTTCGGGGATACTCGGATGCAGACTGGGCAGGCGACCATACGGATCGCAAGTCAACCTCTGGCTATGTTTTCGTTTTGATGGGTGGACCAGTTAGTTAGAGAAGCAAAAAGCAGTCAAGCATGTCATTATCGACTAGCGAAGCGAAATACATTGCGTTGAGTTTGGCGGTTCAAGAAGGCAAGTGGGTGCATCGTTTACTGTGTGAGATTCTACACGCGGCTAGTAAGTGCGAACCACGCCTCAAGATTTTTGAAGACAATCAATCTTGCCTCAAGATGACCAAGAATCCTGTCACTCATGGTCGAGCCAAGCATATCGACATCAAGTATCATCATATTCGTGATGAGGTCAAACGTGGTGAAGTGAAGCTCAGGTAGACCTCGACTATGCTAGTCAACCTTATTACAAAGGCACTGTCAGGACCACGACACAAGGATTTAACGACGGCACTCGGCATTATCGCATGTTCACATTAAGGGGGAGTATCGAAGATAACAAGTACACTGTGGTGTGTGTCTGTCTTCCTCGTCTATCCAATACGAACGCACGTAAGTACGATACGATAGTGTTATGATACTGGTACGATACTGGTATGATATCTTATGTGTGGTATATGTGATGTTCACTGATTGGCTTAGAGGTAGCAACTAGTTTGTAAACTAAGTACCAAAAATATATTTACTTTGGAATTTCTCCATCGACCACTCAAGTCTTTTTGGTCAGCTCTTCTCCTACAGCTTCCTTCGCTCTACCCTTCTAGGGGTGGAAGTCAGCTTAGCGATTGATGTGTTATCGCAGCTGGATAGCCTGGTGGTAATTCGCATCGAGATTGATGTGTTTGCGTAGTGGTTGACAGTGTGGTGATATTCTGCTTTGCGACTGATGTGTTGTCGCAACTGTTGACAACGTGGCGATATGCTGCAGTGCGACAAATTTGTTAGAGCAGCTGCTGACGGCGTGGTGATAGGGTACATTGGAACGAATGTGTTACCGCAGCTGTTGACAGTGTGGTTGTAGTCCGTTTTGCAACTGACATGCCATTGCAGCTGTTGACAGCTAAGTGGTAGTCCACTTTGCGACTGATATCTTATCGCAGATGTAGATAGCGTGGGGATAGTCTGCATTCGGACTGATACGCTATCCCAACTGATAATAGCAATGTGATAGCCTTCATTGCGCTGGATTCGTTACAGCAGCTCTTGTTAGCAAGGTCGAAGTTCGCTGAGCGACTGATGTGTTATAGCTGCTGTTGGTAGCGTGGTGATAGTCTGCGGTGCGACTGGTATGAATTCTAAGCTGTTGATAGTCTGCATTGCGATAGATTAATTACAGCAGCTGTTGTTATCAGGTAGAAGTCCACTTAGCGACTGATGCGTTATCGCAACTGTTGAAAGTGTGGTGATCTGCATTCCGACTGATTTGTTATCCCAGCCGTTAATAACAATGTGATGGTCTGCATTGCGATGGATTCGTTACAGCATCTGCTGTTATCAAGGTAGAACTCCGCTTAGCGACTGATATGTTATTGCAGTTGTTGATAGCGTGGTGATAGTCTACAGTTCAACTGATATGTTATCCCAGCTGTTAATATCAATGAAAAGTCTGCATCGTATGGTTTCATTACAGCAGCTTTTGTTAATAAGGTGGAAGTTCGCATAGCGACTGATGCGTTGTCGGAGCTGTTGATAGCGTGGTGATAGTATGCAGTGCGACTGGTATGTTTTCTCAGCTGTTATTAGTCTGTATTGCGTTAGATTTAGTACAGCAGCTGTTGTCATCAAGGTGGAAGCCCGCTTAGCGACTGGTGTGTTCATGCAGCAGTTGATAGCCTAGTGACCTGATTGTGACCGATATGTTATTCCAGCTGTTAATAGCAATGTGATAGCCTGCATTGCGATGGATTCGTGACAGCAGCTGTTGTAAGGCGGAAGACCGCTTACTGACTGATGTGTTATCGCGGCTGTTGATAGCCTAGTGATCTGCATTGCGACTGATATGTTATCTTTGCTGTTAATAGCAATGTGATAGTCTGCATTGCGATGGATTCTTTACAGCAGCTGTTGTTAGCAAGGTGAAAGTCCACTTAGCGACTGATGCGTTGTCGTAGCTGTTGATAGCGTGGTGATAGTCTGCAGTGCGACTGGTATGTTTTCTCAGCTGTTGATAGTCTGCATTGCGATAGATTAATTACAGCAGCTGTTGTTATCAAGGTGAAAGTCCGGTTAGCGACTAATGTGTTATCTCGACTTTTGTTAGCGTGGCGATAGTCTTCATTGCGACTGATTTGTTATCCCATAGCAATGTGATAGCCTGCATTGCGATGGATTCATTACAGCTGCTGTTGTTATCAAGGTGATAGCTAGCTTAGCGACTGATGTGTTATCTCAGCTGTTGATAATGATAGTCTGCTGTGCGACCGATATGTTTTCTCTGCTGTTAATAACAATGGGATTGTCGGCATTGCGATGGATTCATTACAACAGCTTTTGTTAGAAAGGTGGAAGTCCGGTTAGCGACTG